GCTGGAGACAGCCTCGGTGGCGGATGTGCCAGAGGTGAAGGTGCTGGCCCTGTCCCCACGCTGCTGGCCTGTTTCCCCACTCTGTTACATGGATAACCCTGGGAGGTTTTTCTCGGCAACGCTGAGCTCCCCCCTGGATGAGTTTGCCGACTTCTGCCAGCAAAGTGAGTGCAGAGTGGCAGTGGGTGTATGTGTGGGTCTCTCCAGGGCCCAGACCCTCCCAGCAGCTCAGCCAGAAGTGGTGGTGTGTGGGGTGAGCTGGGAGTGCCAGTCGGGGCTGGTCCCCGGCCCTGGTGCTGACACTGTCCCTGGCAGGTCAGAGCCAGCTGGGCTGGGAGTGCACGAAGCCCCAGCGATTGCAGTGGACGTGGCTGGGCCACGCTGAGCTGCAGTTTGGAGACTGTGTCCTCCATGTGTCCACACTACAGATGTACATCCTGCTGTGCTTCAACAACACCGAGGTAGGAGCTGGGGCCACAGTGAGGAGAGGGAGGCAGTGGATGCCAGAGCGTGGCAGGGCTGTGTCCTCCCTTCCGTTCCGGTGGGGTCTCCAGCAGTGTTTGGGGCACAGGACGCCCTTGTTTAACTGGGCCTGTGGCCAGTAGGTCTTGGCCAGCCATTGACCTCCCCTGCCCTGCTGCAGGAGGTGGCTGTGGAAGCCCTGCTGCAGGCTACAGGGCTCCCTGCTGACCTGGTGCACCACGCGCTGACACCGCTGACCCACGGCCAGGGCGTCCTGGTGCAGAGCTGCACGCCGGGAGGTGAATGTGGGGCTGGGGCACCCCTGGGGAGGTGCTGCTCTGAGCCCCGAGTAGGTGCTGGGGTTAGGGCTGCATGAACTTGTACAGCAAGGGAATGGGCTGAGGTGGATCTGTCTGGTGGTTCTGGGGGTGCGGGTCTGTGTGTCAGGGACCAGGTGTAGGGCTGGGAGTGGTGTGTGGGGCTTGGGCTTGTGGCCATGCACGGGGTGCGGGTCAGTGTGGGTGGTTGTGTCTCGGGCCTGTGTGTGGGGTTGGGACAGGGACAGGGGTTGTGCGCGTGGCTGTTGCTTGGGGCCATGTGTGGGGGATTGGGCTGTGGCGGCCAACTGTGTGGGCAGCGGGGGAGGCCCAGGTTGGGTCCAGCAGCCATACGTATGTCCTGGGGCTCCTTCAGGGCCCAACTGGAGGCTTGGCTGACCCTCAGTTGGGTGCTGGCTCCAGGTACACTGCGGCTGAACCACACAGCCTTGGCCCAGGCCTCTGGCCGCCACCTGAGGCTGCTGCCTCAGCAGAGGTACCTGCGGACGGAGAGGGCAGAGGTGAGTGCCCTGGAAAGGAAGAGGAACGTCCTCTGCTGCCTCATAACCCGCATCCTCAAGGTGGAGAAGCAGCTCCATGTCGACAACCTGGTGTTCAGGGTACGGAGGTCCCGGGGGGCAGAGAGGGGCTGTGTGGGTGCTGTGGCGCACTACAGCATGGGGCTCCCTTGCTGCCATAGGTGATTGATGCCTGTCAGAAGGGCAGGTTGGGGCCAGGTGTGCAGTTCCTGAGCTTCTGCTGCCACAGCGTGGACGTGCTGTCCTGCGTCCTGCACCTGTTGAACCAGGGCTATCTCCGGCGCCAGGAGGGGAGGCCTCATGTCTTGGAATACATCTCTGCTGAACCCACAACACCTCGTGGGGGCCAGGCACAGATGACTTTCCAGTGCAGGCCACCACAGGCATCTCCAGATGAGGACAGCATAGACAGCCTGCATTGGTAGGGATGCATGTCACCAGGTGTGGAGGGGTGTGCATCTCTACCATGTATGAACATGACACATTTTTCCACATTCAGGTTGAATCCTGGCATAGACAGGGCAGAAGAGTATCTTATGGCAATGCTGCAGGTGCCAATGGGGCACACGCTTAGTCCAGAGGAGGCAAAGCTGCTCATGAACCAGACAGTACAGCAGGTCCAGGATACTCTGAGCATATCAGATGATGTTGCTCGACACCTCCTCATGCACTGCAGGTGGAATGTGGATTTCCTGATCCAGTGCTATGTAGAGAACCGTGACGCTCTGCTCATCTCCTCGGGGCTGCAAGTGCAGGATGTGCAGCCTCCTCCGAGCCCTGGAACCCACTGCCCAGTCTGTGTGAACCAGCTGTGTCCCACTGAGAAGCCACTGACCCTCTGCTGCATGCACTACTGCTGCAAGGTGAAAGTCCCGGGGTCTTTGATTCCTGTGATTTGCTGGGGAATTGCTGCTGTCTACTTGGAGCAGCTGTTCTGAAGGTGTTATCAGAGGATTTTCAGAGCTCATACATTCTCTTTTCTCAGCTCTCTTTTTTGTTGTGATCCTTCAGCTCCTGATTTGTCCATTCCCACTTCTGTACTGTCTCGTGGGTTTATGGGGTTTTGTGCACCCTCTGCGGAGTGGGGAAGGCTTCCAAAGTCACACGACCCTATTTAGGTCTCATCTCTCCTTTTCTGCCTTCACAGCCCTGTTGGAGTGAGTATCTCACAACTCGCATTGAACAGAACATGGTTGTCAACTGCACCTGTCCCATATCCGAGTGCTATGCACAGCCAACCACAGCCTTCATTTACTCCATCGTGTCCTCAGAGGAGATCATAGCGAAGGTGAAGTAGGAGAGGTGGTTGCTTTGTGTTTAAGCTCAGTTTCTATTTGGTCAGCACTATCAGATAATCTTGCCGCTGCTTTTCCCCTTCCTGTTACTAATTCTGGCACTGTGACAATTAAGGCCAACCAGATTTCTGCCCAGTGGTGTCTCTTGTCTCTGATTATGATCAATACCAGCTATTCAAGAAAGCATAATGTCAACGAAAGGAGCACAGTGGTATTTTCTCTAAACATGTCTCCAAAAAATAACATTTCAGGTGCATCATTAGTTCAGGACCAGGTGAGAGCTGTGGTAGCAGCTCATGATAAGTATCCTCTACTGGTGTGCTGGAAGCAATTGTAAAATCCAGGACAAAGGAAAACATGAGCAATTTCACTTTCTTGCTGCATCAGTGACCCCTGTGTCCTTTCTCTTCCATCAGTCTCTGGCTTTGAGCACCTCAGGTTTTTGTGAAGATGACAGAAGTGACCACATCAAACTTAATCTTCACTAAGTTTGTGTGAGTCTTCACACATCTCTAAACCAGGCTTCCTGAGCTCTGCTTGCTTTAGGCCTCGGTCAGTAGCGGACAGCAGCAACTGCTGCTAAGGTAGAAGCTGCTTTTTCTTTCTGTTCTTTTAGTTTTTAGTTATTAGAGCTGAATGCCCTCCCCACCTAATGGCAGAGCTGTGGCTGTCACATGACAGACTATTTCTGTTAATTGCTGGACAGAACAGTTTTGTCTGTTTTCCACTGATCTGTTGTTTGACAGGTCTCCACTTCCTTTGATTCTCCAGAAATATTCTCTTCTTCCAACTTCTTACTGTCATTGTGATCCTGTATGCACAGTCAAAAGGAGAAATGAACAGTAGTCATGAAGGCTTCTCTATCTTAAAATTTTGCTTTTAGCTTGCAAACTGGCAACCAAAATGGATAAGGCTACAGAAAAGCATTGGTTTAGATGTATCTTTTTTTTTTTTTATAAGAAGTGCTCAGAGAATTAGTGCATGTATCTGTGCATATATAGTTAGTCCTTACTACCTTTGCAAATCCCTTAGTCACATCTGTCTGAGAGCAGGATTTAATAGCCTGTTGCTGTGGCTTTTTTATAAAAAGAAATGATTATTGAACATAAATTGCAGCTAATTTTACAAGTTGCTCTGATGCTCTCACTGAAGTGTTATATTTTCCTTTGCTCAGTAAGTGGTATGGCTGGAGTGTTAGTGTCTCGTGCAGAGACAGTCATAGAATAATTTAGATTGCAATAATCATTTGAAATCTCTGGTCCAACCCTGTTTTCAAAATAACTAGATTATTGTGTGAAGATCTAATGCTGAAGTTAAAACATACTCCTCCAAGTTCAACAAAAGGAAATGCCCAGTCCTACTCCTGATGTAGTATAACCCAGTATAACCCAGTGCAACAGTATGTGCTGGGGGTCAACCATCTGGAAAACACCTCTGCAGGAATAAGAAAAAGGATCACAGTGGACAACAAGATGAACATAAGCCAGCATTGTTCCCTCGTGGCTAAGAAGGTCCACTAGTGTTTTAGGTTGATGTCAGAAGAGCAGTGACAGCAGGCTGAGGAAGGTGATCCTGTACCCAGTGCTGGTGAGACAACATCTGGAGTACTGTGGTCCTTTCTGGGCTCACCAGGACAAGAAAGACGTGGACATACTAGGGAGAATCTGGCAAAAGGCCACAAAGGTTTTGGAACACCTCTTGAAAAAGCTGAGAGAGGTGGGTTGGTTTGGCCTGGAGAAGAAGAGGCTCAGGAGTGGATCTTATCAACATGTGTAAATTCACAAATGAGATTAAGGAGCTGGATTCTTCTTCATGATGTCCAGTGAAACGATAAGAGGCAGTGGGCACTAAGTTATATAGAAGGATTTCCATTTAAACGTAAGAATACTGTTTGTTGGGTTGTTGAGGTTTTTTTAATAGTAAGAGTAATGAAACATCGGACCAGGTTGGGCAGAGAGGTTTGTAGTCTCTATCCTTGGGTATATTCAAAACCCAACTGGACATGGTTTTGAGCAATCCTACTTTGAGCTGGAGGGGTTGGACTGGTTTTTATTTCCAGAAATGCCTTCCAACCTCAGCAATTCTGTGAAATGAAACAGCCTCCAGATATGACATGTGGGGATGGGGAAGTTTGTGTACACAAAGGGAATGAAAGAATAAACTGAGTGCTCTTTTGTTGTGAGCCGTTGCTCAGTGAAATGTATAGCCCAGAGGCTCCAGACCCTGGTTGTAAGGCCTAACCATGCAAGTTCTCTGCCTTAAATCTTCTTCCTGGCTTCTTATTACAGTATGAAAAAGCCCTCCTCAGACGCTATGTTGAGTGTTGCTCCAACCTGACATGGTGCACCAACCCTCAGGGCTGTGATCAGATTCTCCTAAAGGATGGACTCGGTTATGGAGCAGCGTGTTCCAAGTGCTCCTGGATATCCTGCTTCAACTGCAGCTTCCCAGAGGTGAGGCTGAGCTGAATCATGAGTAATACTATCTTAGGTTTGGTGTGCACCATTCTGCTTTTGTGCTGTTGACTGTCTCCCTTTCAGGCCCATTATCCTGCCAGCTGCAGCCATATGTCTCAGTGGGTGGATGATGATGGATACTATGAAGGAATGACAAGTGAAGCCCAAAGCAAACATCTGGCTAAGCTCATTTCAAAGCACTGCCCGAACTGCCAGGCTCAGATAGAGAAAAATGAGGGTTGCCTGCAGTGAGTACACATTTTTGTTTGCTACTGGAAACAGAAGAGGGCAAAAACATACAGTTAGGTCCATTATGCTTTGCTTTTTTTTTTTTTTTTTTGACAATTGCTCAATTGTTATAATAGGTCTGCTTTACAGTTTTAAAAGAATGAGTGATTGCTTTTAATTCCTAGAAAAGCAAAATGTTCCCCAGCATTCAGAGTTAAATCCGTTGATGGCTCTGATAGAATCAGAACTGATTTTGCAGTACCTTTTCATAGTGCTCTTGTCTACTCTCAGAAGCCACTATAGCCATATAGAAGTAAAGGTTAGGGGAGTGGATAGCTCAGCACCATATTTTCTTTCATGCTCACCTATTCCTGTAACTTAGAGCAATTTTCTTTTGACTGTTTTGAATCAGCTTGGATCTCTGGCAGCTTTTTACATGATAGGGGAATTACCTCCAGCTTTGAAGTTAGGGCTTAGGATTTGCCATTTGTTTCTCTCTTGCACTGGCACAGTCCTTAATGCCCAGCTGTGATTTGTCCCCACATGCAGTGTGTGGCCCTAGGGCTGTGCAGTGCCTTTCTGCACTGTGTGGAGTGCTGCGTTAGTGAGGGAAGGGTGAGGTGCTCATGTGGATCTTTTTTCAAACTGTGGAATGCTTAGTCACTCTTTGAGTACTTGATAAGCTACTGTGAGATCATGCTGCCAGTTTACTCATCTCACTTTTGGAGACTGACTGGTTTTAAGCATCATCTGCTTCTAGCAAAGGCTTTAGAAAAATATATGCAGGAAAATGCATAGTACTGGGTGAATAGGAGTGAGTGTGTGGCACACCCCAGTGCTGAGGTGTAGGAGAGCACTGGAAGGAACTGTCTGCAAGTGGCTGTTAGGTCTGAGTGATTTCTATTGTTCTTCTCCTACCATTCAGTATGACATGTGCCAAGTGTAGTCATGGCTTCTGTTGGCGTTGCCTCAAGCCCTGGAGACCAAATCATAAGGATTATTACAACTGCTCTGCTATGGTGAGTGGTTTGCTGTATCCCTGTCGTTCATGCCTGTGTTCAGAAGCATCTAGCTTCTCAGAGAGAGGGTGAGGATCTCCACTTGGGGCCTTTACTCTGGACTTTTGCGCTCACCAGTAATACTAACAGCATTATCAAAGTCTCCAGTACAGCAGGCATCCCTGGTACTTCAGAGAAATTGCTACAGGTTGCTTTTACCTTTCCTTTCAGGTGAGTAAAGCAGCTTGGCAGGAGAAGCGTTTTCAGGATTACAATGAGAGATGCACCTTTCATCATCATGCAAGGGTAAGGCCCCCTTCTTTTGCAGATGCTGATGTTGCCCTAGCCCTGGGGATCAGGACAGCTTCTGTTGTGTCTCAGCGTCTTCTATGCTGAGGAGCAGGCTTCAGGTCCAGGTCGGGATGCCTGACCATTTCACCCTTACTCTGACATAAGGGGTAGTCCTTGGCCTGCTTTCTTCTACCAAGTCTGTTGTGGAACCTGAGCACCTAACTTGTGACATTCACAGGCTCAAAGTGATGCAGTAATTGGAAGCAATGGTGACTGAAGGCAGAATTCTGCCTAGAGCTGAGGTACTGTAAAAGGTTGAAGTGATGGCACAGTGACAGAGATGTCATAGTTGGATGCTGTGCTGCTGTCTGTATCTTCTGGGATGGCACTTAAGGATGCTTAGCAAATACCTGTGTGGAAGGTGCCATTTTTTCAATCTTAAAGAGCTTGACACTGACACTGGCTTTTTTTTTCCCCTCCTTTGGTTATTGCAGGAATTTGCCGTGAGTCTGAGGAACAGTATTTCTTCCATCAGAGAGATGCCAAAAATTAGGAACTTGACCTTTGTTCTTGATGCCTGCAAAGTGCTAGAACAGGCACGGAAGGTAAAGCTGGATAGCAGTCTTGCTGAGGTTTAGACCTAATTCTATTAGTGTGTTTTATGCCTTTCTTAAAGTGAGGAGACATGAGGAGAAACCAACCTTGTCCTACTCTAAACAAGGGGAGACAGGAAAAGCAGAAGGGGAGGGATAGCATCAGGACAGGGTCAGAGCTCATGTCTGCCTTTCCCTGCTCTCACTTGGAGTTGGGCTCTGTTTGCAGTGTTCCATACAGTCAGGTCATAGGACAACTTAGCTCGTGTTGGCACCACGGAATCAACACAATGGTCTATAGGGTTTTCATATAGTGGGTTTGGTCCATTCCAATTTGAAATGCCCTGGTGAAGATACTTACCTTTTGAAAGCTCTTCTGATGCTGTGTTTCAGTTAGGAAGTTCCTCTTGATGTTCATGTCATGATTTTTATTTCTTAACTCCATTCCATGATATTTTGGAAGATATTTTGGAAGCCTGAGTTACTGCATGCCCTGATAGCCACATTAAAAAGGATTTGCAGTGCAGCCACTGGAAGTGTGCAGTAAGCTTGTGACAGCTTAGGCCTGTAATGCCTTCTATCCCCTGAAACATAGTCAGGAGGTGGGAATTATCTAGTGATATTGACTTTGCATATACACCTTGTTTTTGCATTCAGGCTTGATTTTGAGAGAGGCATGTGGAAGAAGGATGCCTGACCCTATATTGTCTTTTCAGTATGGTAGCCCCTGTGTTTTCCAGGATACATGTCGCTGTTGCTTGTTCCTGCTACTGAATTTCCTGGTCCATTTCTTTAAATGGCAACAGTGGTCTTGCTTCCTGCTGGGTGCCTGAATTGCTTTAGGGATCATTTATTCATAATAGGAGTTTGACACTTTTTGAAACCCCTCTGTCGTGGGCTCTTGGTGCTCTATAGTACCATGCCTGCTTCCCCTTGTGCTCCATTCCCTCAGTTCATTGTCACTTGAGTTCAGCCTGGGCTGCCCAGCCCAGGTCGTGTGTGCTGCTGGTTTTGACTCTTTGCCTGCTGGTCAGTGACACTTGTTATGCATTTACATTCTGTGTTCTTGTGATGGTTTGCAGGTGGGAACAATCAGTTTTTTCAGACTTCAATATAAAATAATTGCACATTCATTTCCAATCCTGTGAGTAGCTCTAGGTAGCCTGGCACTGCTGTCACTTGGCATAATGGGTCACTGGGCTATGGCCATACACCAAAGGTGTTGCCAGGCTTCTCTCAGCCACTGATGATAATGAGGTCTGGAAGGGTTTGATGCTGCTCACTTCTTGCCCATTCTGAAGCTGGAGGAGGGTGCTTAACAGCATGATCTGTACTGTTTCAGGTGCTGGCTTACTCCTGTGTGTACAGCTACTATAACCAGGACACTGAGAGCATGGATATTGTGGAACAGCAAGCTGAGAGCCTAGAGCTGCTCACTAATACTCTGCAGATCCTTCTGGGTAAGTCCTGCAGCCTCTTTAGAGGAGCGACTAGTGTTCCAAACTATATGGTTCAAAGAGCAGCAGCTCTGTAGTGGGACAATAGCTGGCCTCTCACTTCTCCCAGCCCATTTTTGCTTTCTTGATGTAATTTCTGGGAAGTCCACTGGTGCAATTTGGCTGCCGATGGAGATTGATGGAGTAAAGAGCAACATGTTCCGTTCTGCAATGTGCCATATGTGCACAGGAGATCTACGTAGCTGTGGCCGGCTTCCTAATCAGAACCAAAGACTTAGTCTCTTCTTAAGAGTGTGTGATGCAACATGACTTTAATTGCAGAGGAAACCCTGCTGCAGTACCAGGACCTGGCCTCATCTCTTCAGCTTCTGAAAGCAGAGCATTTCAATGCTGGTTTGGAATTGGTACGCCAGATCAAGGAGCGTCTCTTTGCAATTCTCTGGCACTCCACACAGGTGAAGTTCACATGCCTGATAGTGGCTTGTCTTGCTCTGGTCTAGTTTGACTGTGGGCATGCCAAAGGGCTTGATCAGCTGAGGGGTTAGACTCTAAGGGTTGTGTGTGTAGGGAAAGGGTTTGCAGCACAAAATACACCCCAAATTGCATATTCTCTCTCTCTCTTTTTTTTCTCTCTCTCTTCTGGTTGTTATTTCATGCAAGCAGGATTTCCATGTTGGGCTCCAGACTTCAGGAGATCCTGGTCAGAGAAAGCTGAAACTCGCAAATGTGCCTGCTTCAGCCCTTGCCTTTACAGGGTGAGTTTTCTTAGCTGGATAAAAATGAAAGGTGGATAAATGCAGACGAAAAGCAGGTGAGCAGAGTTTTCTCCTGTGCTCACTGACGTACAAAAGAGTGAATAACAGATACTAATTACTTACATCCTCTTTTGTGGTTTGAGGTAACAATTTAAGTGACAGTGGTGTAAGGAAAGCAGCAAAACCTCTGTAGTAGGGTGTTGTGGGGTTGGGTTGTGGTTGCTGCTCACAGCTGGGGCTCTGCTCTGATGCTCTCCTTCTCAACAGGCAAAAACGTACCATCTTGTGTGACTCCCCCAACACAGATGAAGGTGGCAAAGAGGTTGAAGATGAGGAGTATGATCCACAGTGGCAGGAAGACTATGATGATGATGATGATGACCTTGATGAAGACAACTTTATGATTGATAATGAATCAGATTGTGATTCCTACTTTGATGATGATGATAGCTATGACTAGAAGTGGTCTATCACCCAGCCTGCCAGCTTGGACCTCTGCCTCTACTCTGTCTCAACCAGTTTGTGTTAGTGTTTTTCTTCAAAGGCAGGGAGGAGCTCTCAGGGGGAACAAAGCATTTCATCTGGGAGGCTAATTGCTCAGTGACTCTTCTTTAATATGCTGAAATATTGCTCTGGGAAGCTGGTCTGTGTTACTGTGGCCACCTCTCTCAGAAAGTTATCTCCTTGCCTTTTTTCCTTGTTTCCAGTTCTGCCTATAGTTATTTAGTTGAGTTACAAAGTCACAGTCCACCTGCAAAGTGAGGCCTACTTGCCACCTGTTAAAGGGCTGCTCATTGTCTTTGGATGTGCTCTCCCCAAGGACTGGGCACAGATGAGTGTGGCATGTATCCTAGCATGGCACTGTTTAGAAATGGCCAGTGTCTAGAAATGCTGTAGAGTGATGCATTTACACTCAAGTCAAAGCCTCCCATCTGGAGCTGGTGGGATTCCCTCCAGAGCCGCAGATGGATGTGGTTCAGTTCCTCTGGTTGAGAGGACCAGCATTTTTGCTGTTGGAGTTTTCTTCTCTGCTGTGAAGCAGGAAGGGCTACTGTGAGTGACACAAGTTTGCAGGACTGTTTAAATGTATAAACATATATTATATATATATATGTGCAGAGATTGTTCAGATAATACTTTATCTTTGCAAAAAAAAAAAAAAAGAAAACCCTGAGGAACAATGGTTGAAAAAAGTTCTGTTTAAAGAAAGAAACACTTTTCCTCAAGCACAAGCCTTCTTGTTGTCTGTGGGGAACATGGGTTGGGAGGGAGAGTAGGATATCCTCAAGTGAGGAGGATGTGACCTTGATGTGGTCATCCCAGGAGTTATTTGTGAAATTGGTGTGGGTTTGGGATCCTCACCCAGGTCACACAGTCTGCCCTATAAAGTAACTTTTCCTTCATGGCAGTTCAGGGAACAAAAGGAGGTATGGGGAGGGATGGAAAAGAGAATGGCAGACCAGACCACAGAGTTTGGTGGGGCTGGTGTTTCTGGGAGCAAGAGCAGGACAGACTGCCTGTGTGTTGATGGTAACATCTGGTGCCCAGCAGAAGGCAGATGTGGAACTGCTATGGGGGCTTGAGGGGTGATTCGGAGGTTTGTAGGATTGTTTTGGAGACAAGGGCTCTTAAGCCTTGGGTATCATCCGGGAGGGCTGTGGGGCCCTTGTGGGATGCTGAGCAGGGACCAACTGCCAGGACAGACTGGGAGAGAGGACTGATTTTTCCACTCCCCTGCACCCCCTTGCTCCTAGTCCTGCAGAGCCTGTCATGGTGGAAGTCCCAACCCTGCTGCCCATACATGGCAAGTGGGGTTCCCTGTGACCTCTTTAGGCCCTGTTCCCAGAGGTGCTGAGGGGGAGAGATGTGATGGGGATGCCCGGACAGCCTCATCTTCCCCAGTGTGACCACTTGTTTCTTGCAGGAACAACCTGAATTTCCCAGGTTGTTGGGGGGACAGAGCAGAACATCCTAGATGCTCAAGTTGCTTAATGTGGAGATTCATGCCTTGAGTTCTTCATTCACTGTTTCCTGGATGCCTACTTAAACCCCAAAAAGTCAGAAGGACTGTGAGTCTCTACTCTCATGGACAATATTTGTACTGAAAATCAAGATCAAACCTTGCCATTCTGCTCTGCAGGAAGTTTCTGTCCTCCCTTAGCTCATAGAACACCTGTGTTATGGTTTGACAGATGTACTGTCCCAGTCAAACTACCTACTTGGCACTGGAGCAGGCCGTGCCAGACACTTGTCATCAGAAGTGAGAGCCCTTTGGGGCTCACTCACTCACAAACCTCACTGGGTAAGTGGCAGAAGTTATGAGTAGTGTTTTACTGGCAAGTGGTCTGAGTTGCACAACTGTGGGGCCTCTCACTCTGAAGTCTCTTCACAGTGTCGGACTAGAGTTGTGATCAACAGGGGCTTCTTTCCCTGCTGATTTTTAACAAGCCTGTTCTCTTGACTGTGCCTTCTCAGCATAGTAATAATTAGGGATAGTGAGAGTCTCATTCATTCATGAACATCACTAATTGAATGATGAAGCATTTGCCTGTTTATTAATCACAAAAATGACATATTTCTCATCCAGGCTAAGTAATGGGGCCTGTGCATCTGGGTAAAGTCGGTTGATTTTTTGGGGCAGATAACCTTATGCAGCATGATTGCCAAGTTCTCTTTTATTTCCTGCCTGCTATCCCTTCTACCTCCATTACTTTTGTTGAGCATCCATTTCCCCTGATCATGACAACCTGTAAACAAAATTTATTTACAATCAAATGACTTTGCATATAACATGCAAAGATAGGTACAATATTTACAAATGTGCTACATCCCTACTTTCTTCTTTCATTCCTTTCTTCTTTTACATTCCTCCTTTCCTTCCTCTCCCCCCTTACTTCCCTCCATCCTCACTGCATCTGTCCTTCCTCCCCTCTGTTCTTCCTTTCATCCATCCTTCTGCCTGTCCTTCCTTATGTTCATCCTTTATTACTCTTTACTTCCTACTTCCTCCTTTCACTATTGACCTCACTTTATGTACTTACAGACTTAAATTCCCCTTTTTCCTGCCTTTTGGCTTTCTGCTTTCCTCTATTCCTCCTTGCCCACTTCTCCACCTTCTTGACTTCTTTTCTTAATTATTATCTTCCTTCTTCTCTTGCTACTTTCCTCAATACTTCCTTCTTTCCTTCTTGCTTGCCTCCCTGCCTGCCTTCTTTCCTTCTTACCTGCCTTCTTTCTTTTACCTTTCTTCCTTCTTTCATTCCATCATCTTCCCCTGGTCTTTCCCCCTCCCTTCCTCCCTCACTTTTTTCTTCCCTGTTATTTCCCAATTTTCCCTTGCCTCCCTTTCTTTCTTACCCTCTGTTTCATTCTCCCCTCCTTCTTCCCCTCACTTAGGTCTCCCAGGTCCCAAGCCACCTTGCAGAGTCTGTAGGAGTGTAACTACCCACAGCAATGGGAGGCAGAATTAGGGGCCATTCCAGTCCATTAGGCACACATTAAGTCTTTGCCAAAGGAATGGCCATCCTGGTAAGGTGAACTTTAAGCTGGGAAAGGTGGGGGAATGGGGAAGTTATAGTGATCACCCATCCAAAAGAATAAGGCTTAAGTGGGAATACCTCCAGAAAGCCAAAGATATGACTATGGGGCATCCCCTTGCACCCCTACACTCCAGTCCTTCAATAAGGTGCCTGCAGTATGGGGAATGAGCAGGAGGAACTGGAGCTCCCTGTGCAGGTCTCAGAGCTTTGGTCTTACAGTTGGAGAGACATAATGGGACAGGTCTCATGACCGGAATGTTGTCATGAAGCTGTTTAGGAAAGAAACCAGGAAGACCAGACCAAAGAGATGCGAAGGCCGGGAGCAGCCTTGGCTACAGTGACCATGAGATTGTTGAATTCAGCACCGAGTGAGAAGGAAGCAGGGCAGCAAGGAAGATCACAACCATGGACTTCAGCAGAACAAACTTATTCTCTTCAGAGACCTTCTTGGAAGATTCCCAAAGTAATGGGCCTTGCAGGGAAGAAAGGTTGCCCTAGTTAAAAGGATAGGAGGTGGAGTTTAGCACTATGTGGGGTGACCAAACGGTGTGTTTTAGACCCTCTGTGTCATGTTTGGTGGACTGCCTCTTTCAGCCCCGCAGCTGGAAATGGAAGTTTTGCTATTTTTGCTGCTGCACAGGTAGGAGAGGGTGTTGGGACTGTGTGTCCTCTTGGCACTGGGAGACCACCAAGTCCAAGCACACCGAGAATGGGAGGGACGAGTCCTTTTAAGGTTTCTTGATTTACATAACCACTCACTTCTCCCAGGGTGAGCCCCGTTCCTTCTCTTCCCTAAAAGGTGATATAGGCCTCTTCTTGGATTCGAATGGGTCTCTTAGGGCCAGCTCGCTCTTTTTTCCGTCAGTCTTTCCTGACCTATCATACTGTTTCCCTGTCCTGGCCGCATGGTCCCTTGGCAGTGATCCCAGACTGGTCTTCCTGCCTTACATGCTTTTGGCTGCCTTCACACTGTAACTGTAGGTAACTGTAAGCAGCAACAAGTAACTGTAATCAGACCTGTAAGCAGCAACAAACAACTTCAAGCATAGCTGCAAGCAGGCATAAGTAGCTGTAGTAAGTAACTGTAAGCAGCTCATCAGTCACTGACCATCAAATGATTCTCCAGCTTCCCAAACAAAACAACTTCCAGGCATCTTGACATGAGTCAACTATGGAAACTCCTGCTTGTAATGAAACTGCCTTATTTATTTCTTACAGTTACCACATTACTTTCTTTGTTCTCCCAGGCCGTGTGGTGCACAGCAAGGGAATGGGTACCATTTTTAGTATGGTTTTGCCCTGGGGGTGAGGGGCCAGGCAACATTTTGCCTTTATTGGTTCTTATTGGTGGGTTGATGATTTTTCTCTGTATTATTGTTATTGGTAATTTCACCTCAGTAAAATTGTGACTCTCATATTTTTAACTTGTTACAGTCTTGTTTTCTTTGGTTTTCCCCCTTCACTATCGTAAGGGTGTGGCTCGAGCAGTCTTAACTTTCCCCCCTGCGCTTTTTAAAACCAGTACAGGGGTCCAAGGGCTTGTGGGGCGTGGCCTGGGGTTTATGGGCGTGACCTGTTGTTTTGGGGCGTGCCTAGAGCATCGGGGGCGTGACTTGGAGCCGCGGGGGCGTGGCCCGGAGCCGCGGGGGGCGTGGCGATGCGGCGGGGGCGGGGCTGCGGTTCCGGTGCTTGGCGGCGGCGGCGGCGGCGGCAGCGCCGGGATGAATGAGGCGGAGGGGCTGCGGCAGCGGCGGCTGCCCCGCCCGCAGGTCATCACCGACGACAGCCCCGCGCAGGAGGCCAAGGAGGGCAGGTGTGTCCGTGCGCGGTGCCGCCCGGCCAGGCGGGCGGAGGGCCTGCCGTAACGCTGCGGCTGTGGGGCCGCGGTTGGGCCCGGCCCGAGGAGTACCTGCCTGGGTTGGTGTGTCGGGAGCAGACGGGCTCTGCCCGCCCCGTGCGGCCCGGCGAGGGAGCAGCAGGTCTGGGTCAGAGTGCGCAGGGAGGAGCTGGAAGGGTCTGGCTGGCTGCCCCGCATCTGTCTGTGCGGATTGAGGCCGCGTTTCCTTGCTCGGCTGGAGGCTCGGTTGGTGCCGGGTACCTGCCGTGTCAGCTTGCGGGTACCGCCAGCACCTCGGCTCTTCCCGCTGCTCCTGCTTCTCCTCGAGGTGGCTGACGGTGGGGAGGGTTTGGGACAGCGCCTGCCTACCTGCTTTATACCGAGCTGCAGGAAGAGTTTTTAATTAAATAATAATTAAAAGAAAAAAAAAAGAAAGAAAAGTTTTAATTTGTGGCTGTTTTCTTGGTCTTTTAAAATTTTTTTTTTTAATTTTTAAAATATAGATCTGTTTAAGTACTGCTTATCATTTGAGGTGATAAACAGTACTTATAGTACTGTTCACTCGTAGTGAAGAGATAACAGTTATCCCACTGTGACTTCCACAGGTTTATTGTGTGTGTGATTAGTCTTGTATAACTGTTTATATCTTGGCAGTAGTTTAACGGCAATTCTACAAGTGTCTGAGACAGAATAGCGTTATAAACAATCTCTTTGTTTGTGGCTAAGTTAAAAGAGATTCAATTTACCGTCTTCTTTAGGAATTTTTAGTCAACAAAATAAAAAAACAATAAAATTGTTTAGGAATTTTATAAATAAAATAGCTTAACTGTAAATAAAGGTAATAAAGCTGCCATAAGAGACCGGTAGTGTTTGTTTTGCCTTTCATTGATTAAGGTAGTTGATGACTTTTAATACTTTTGTTCACCATCTTTTATGTCTCTGCTTATTTGAGTACTTGCAGATTCTTATATCTGCCCTTCAGAGTCATCAGAATGAAAGACCGTCTGATGGCTTGCACATATAGCCCATTTTTTTGAAGAAGAACATAAGCATCTCTGAGCTTGGGACTGCTCCTCCTGGCTTCACCCTCTTCTGGTAACTGCTCAAATCAGTTGAATTTCTAGGGCTCCATCAGTGATCCAGAATATTCACAGTTCTCATGTTCTGCATGAAAACAGTGGAGGAAATTGGAGGGCCTGCCCTTTTTCTGTCTGGAAGCCATGGCAGAAACTCTTGCTTTTCCCTCCAGCCCAGCAGTTCTTCTGCCAAGAGGATGAGGCAGCCTGGGCTCCTGGCTAGGATGACCCATGGTATTGTCTTGCTAGCCTACTGTTTGTCTTCAAGAGCTGGTTTAATGGCTTCTCTTTTTAGTTCGTAGTGACAACTAAATTGCTGTTATTATAGCTGGAGTCCTGGTAAATTGCCTTATTGAGATTTGTGGCTGCAGGCCACGTAGGAATAATTATCAGGACATAATTAACAAAGGATTTCTGTTTTGCTTATCACTGTTGGTGAACCTTTACTTCAGTGATTCTTTCCAGTAACTTACAGTTGTCATTATTCTGTATAGTGTACTTTGGTATGGATTCTGAGCAGCTGACTATTTTTTTTTAAGTTTTTGGGTTTTACTTGAATTCTTGTGGTTTCAGCAGTGTCTAAACTAGGCCTTGCAATTTCCAGGCTTGAAGTGTGAGTTTGCTTGTCACCTTATTCTTCCTGACTTTTTCCTTTATTGTTAGTTCCTTGC